GACATATTTTGGCCGAATTTTGTTCTTCCCTCACGGATTTCAAAGCGAATTTAAGCTCTTTGGTTAAAGCATCGTTGTTTTGAGAGTTATACGGTATCATTCTTGCAGGAGATATCGATTAATCGTGAAAGAAATGCATTAAAAGCGAAAAATCGAAGATAGTTTCGTGTGACATATGCCAAGTCTGGGCTATTTTGGTCTCAATGTCTCCGTCCTTCCCTCGTTATAAGGAAGGCACAGGCGGGCGCGGGCAAATTGAGCCTGAACCTCCTAGGAAGGAGTGACAGTGTTGTTTTCAGATGTATAAACATTTCAGACGTGAATATTGAGTAAATCTTTGAAAATCTACGCAATCTATAAATTGATCTTATGCATTATGGCCGTTCAATTAATAAGTGTCGATAATATTTAGGCGGTTTATTCATTATACAGAGCTAGGAAGAAGCTGGACCGCCTAGACAGTGCAGTCAACACTCAAGTGTATAAACATTTCAGACGTAAATATTGAGCCGAAAATCTTTGAGATTCTAGGCATTCAGTTGAGTGCTGATATTATTTTCACGGTATACTCATTATACAGGGGTACAGTATGTACGAAGAAGCGAGACAGTGTTGTTTTTCAAATATATAAACATTTCAGACATGAATATTGTGAAAATCTTTGAGATTCTACGCAATAATATGATATATAAATTGATGAATATGGTTACCGGCGTTCAATTAAGTGCCTATCGATAGACGATATTATTTAGACCGTGTATTCATTATACATTGTTATTTGACTGTATAAGGTGCCACATCACAGAATAGTACACTCAGGCAAAGAGCGAAAAATTGCATCAGATCAATATTAAAGCATCAACAACTATTAAACAGAAGCGGGCGTTCGTACAGGCGTTTATAAAGAAAATATTGCGAGACGAAGGAAATCAGTTGAGTCAGAGCTCCTTATTTTAATAAGAAAGACGAGGAGATAGCCAGTATGTTATCGCCAACGTGTTATCGCCAATCGCTTGGCTCACCAACAAGCTTTATGCAATGGAAGAAAAAAGCAAGGAGGTACATGTAGCCAACGTGTACTGTCGCGGACCTTGTTTACTGTCTAGCACAACGCCGTTGTCAACGGTGCAAATTCGTGTTCAGTGCAACGTTAACTCTACCAGATCTTACGAGAATTAATCTGTAGTATTCTGTACACAGAACTGTATCAAAGCTTGTCAAAACTGCTTTAAACACTGCTATAACTGTGAAACTATTGAAATCTAAACCCACCGGGCACACGACGTTGTTTCAACGTTGAAATTTGGTAGAAAAAAGGTTGCGACGTCGACAACCTAATATCTACGTTGCTCTGACGTTGTTTTTCAAACATTGGTTCAACAGCAGCCAACAGACGTTGAATTAACGTTCGTTCATGGTTAAATGTACGACGTCGATTTGTGAACCAATCTCAACGTTGTTTTAACGTGGATTCAACGTTGAATTATGGTTGACGAGATTGGCAACCTAATTTCAACGTTGTTTCAACGTCGAAACAGTAACGTCGATCCAATTTGCATAGTCAACCCTTTTTCAACGTCTATCCAACGTCTGGAAGGTCATTTCCAACGTTGATTCAACGTTGGATAAACGTCATTTTGCCCGCTGGGAAGTGACATTATTCAAAACATGCGACAAGCTACGTGACACTGGGAAAAGTCAAAGGTCAATGCGGCTTGTTATTGTAAAACATGTCACAATTAGGTTAAAATGCGGAAGCGGTTGGAGCGGACCACAGAAAGGAAATGCGAAAAAATACGGAACGGATGAAGATAAAATTCTTCCTTTCAATGATGTAACGACGTAGTGCTTATTATTTACAACATATCGTATACATCTATTTCAATTATAAGTTTGTAGTAGCCTTGTGCGGATGCTTTTAGCGACAGCTGCAATTGAAATTTCGAATTGTCGCGTGTAGCATCACAATAAATAGATAAATTGTATCAGTTTCACAAAGCACGTTTCTGATATGTTAGGCTTGTTTCAAACGTCACGCTACTCGTGTGTCGAGCGCATTAAAAGCAATAGAGAGGTTAAGATACCCCGGTTCCGGTTTACGGGTACGAGTATCGCCATTTTGTTAACCAATTTTTGCTGATGTCAGCATTTTTACCCGTAATTTCTACCCGTTTCCCCGCGGTAAACCACGGTCTACACGTAAAAGACAAACGGGTACGGGTGTTTTCTGTTTACTATTTGTGGGCCGTTTAAATAGTAAAAATTTTCAACATCTTACCCAAATAAATAATGCGCATATGCTTGTCAAAGTTTTCAACAATCTATGGCGAACTTTAACAACGAAAGTTACCATTCTCTGATTGGTTGTCACACGCCGGAGTATCTTGGATTTCTTAAGTTACAAGTCGTTCCCCGGTTTACGGGTACGGGTACGTGTATATCACCCGTAACCGTAAACCGGAACCGGGGTATCTTAACCTCCCTAATATATATTGAGATGAAATGCGGTTGGTGATTGTTTATTGCGTAGTGTAAGACATCAGCTTTTCTAGGTTGTCAGCGACCCTATATAGTTCTTGCAGAATCTTTTTCAATTTGAAACTTCACACTATCCTTGGATCCCTAGTTAGTGTGAAGTTTCTTCGAAACTTCACAGTATTGTGATGACTGGGAGGAAATTCAAACGAAACAGTCAGTCATTCAGTCATACAGTAAACTTTCCGGGGGGTGTATACGGTATATTGATTGATTGATACTTTATTATGCTTATCTGTGCTTTGAAGGTTATTTAGGCAATTTCAGTTAAATATTCTTTAAGCCTTTTGTCAAGTTTTTCCAAGTTTACAAAAATTTCGAGGAATGTTGTCGTTATTGTAAATTTTATAACATGCGCTTCTCATGTTGTGTAAAGGATCTTTACCCCGGAACACCCGATTTTTTCTTTATCAGCGCAAATGCGCATGCGCTATCAAGCCGTAGATCACGATGGCGTGACGATGCTACGAAGGAGCGAGACAATGTTGTTTTGAAATGTATAAACATTTCAGACGTGAATATTGAGTAAATCTTCGAGAATCTACACAATATATAAATTGATGTTATGCATTCAATTAAGTGCCGATATTATTTAGACGGTATATATTCATTTTACAGAGCTAGCAAGGAGCTAGGACGTGCAGTGCTTTTTTTCAAGTGTATATATATTATTATTAAACATTTCAGACGTAAATATTGAGTGGAAAATCTTTGAGATTCTAGGCATTCAATTGAGTGCCGATATTATTTTCACGGTATACCCATTATATTCTACGCAATATATAAATGGATGACGTTATGCATTACCGGCGCTCAATTAAGTGCCAGAAGATATATTGTTTAGGCCGTGTATTCATTATACATTGGCTGTATAAATGCTACACCACAGAATAGATGGTTACACTCAGTACAAAGAGGCGAAAGAGCGAAAAATTGCATAAGACAAAGCGTAAACAACTATTAAACAGAAGCGGATGTTTGTATGGCGTTTACGAAGAAAATAACTTGAGTTGTGATCGAGACTAAAAGAAATCAGTTGAGTCTGCAGAGCTCTTTATTTAAACAAGAAATTATATATCCAACGTGTTATCGCCAATCGCTTGGCTTGCCAACAAGCTTTATGCAATAGAAGAAAAAAGCAAGGAGGTAGCCAACGTGTACCGTCACGGACTTACTTTGTGTATAGTTCAAATTCAAAAAGTCTTTTTAATAGATCAAAAGATAAAAATACATATCTTATGTTACAAGTACATATTAAGAATACATTAGTAAAGTTTACATCATATGAATAGGTTATAGTTAAAAATTGATCTATTTGCAAACGACAATTTAAAACGTTCCGTGTTCACTCTTGGATACTGACTAAACTCTGTCCTCAAAGAGTAGCTTGTGGATTTTTTTCTTGGTATCAAGTCAACTATGGCACTCTTCTGATTTACAGAAGCCTTAAAAATATTTCTGTCTTGTATTTCTAAAAGATATCTAATATTTACAGGTTCTGATATATACTTTCGCTTAAAACATCTGTCAAAAAACCGTTGTAGAGTATTGAGTTCGGCTGGAGAAGAACCGTAGACGGACATGCCAAACGTTATAGTAGATATTACTAGGGTCTTAAATAGATAATCTATCTCACATTGGCTATAGCCTTCTGCCCTGAGTGTTCGTATAACGTACAAGCATTTGTTTGCTTTGACCAATTTACCTCGCACATGACTGGTGAACTTGAGATTGTCTTGAAAAATAGTACCCAAAATGGGGAGTTCTTTGCATTGGGGTATATTATAAACATTGTCAAGTTGATCATTATATCCCTTCTTCCGGATGATAAGCTCTTTACATTTACCAGGGTTACAAGTCATAAAATTATCATCAGACCAGCTCAGGAATTGTCCAACTGTATCTGTTGATGTATCAGGACCCCACTCCAAACTGGCACTATTATATTTGAATCGTCCGCATATTTAAAAAGAGCGTTCTCGCCGTCTATGTCCACCTCTAAATCATTTAGGAAAATATTAAAAAGGTAGGGGCCACTTACGCTCCCCTGTGTTGTACCCTTATTAACATCCATCCATTCTCCACAAAAATCGTTACAAACGACTCTTTGCTTTCTATTCTTTAGAAAATTTAAATACCAATTTATGATATAAGGGTTGAGTGGCACAGTTTTTAACTTTTCCGAGAGGAGTGAATGTTTCACTGAGTCGAAAGCCTTGCTAAAATCCATAGAAAACAGTCTAACTGCTTTGCAGTTCGCTCTATCTAAGAAGCTGAGTACTTTGTTCTGAATAGTTAACAGAGCGTTTGTACAACTCCCCCCCTGCCTGTACGCAAATTGCGTTGGGGATAAAATTTCCTCAACTGTCGACTTGACCTGACTATTATAAACGAGCTTTTCGAAGGTCCTCGCAATTACAGGTGTAATATTTATTCCACGAAAGTCACCATCTTCCTTTGGTAAATCAACCTTTGCAAGAGGGACCTGTTGCATAATCGGGACCTATTGCTGTCCTCTTTATTCTTTTCAAGGCATTCCATACCTGCTGTTCCGTAAAGCTAGGAATATCTACTTCATCACCAATAATTGAGAGCGTCGGTTCGACATAACTATCATCGTGGCAGAGTTCGCCAAAGTAGCGATTTAATCTTGTAAGTGATGCATTATCTAAAGTAACTCTTGATGACGATGCATTTCGCTGAGAAATATCATTCGTCTTTCTCCACCAAGTTCTACTTCCCACCAAGGCCCTAAAATTTCTTCTGTTTTGACAAATGACATCAGAAATCCTTTTGTTAATTAAACTGAGTCTATCCTTTTGCGACCGAGCAATTCTGGATTTAGCTTTTAGCAAAGATTTAATTAAAGGACTCATCCAGTAAGGGTCACGTGACGAAATTGAGACTGTTTTTTTGGGCATACATTTATTCATATGATCCATGATCTTACGTTCAAGACAATTCACAGCGTCATTTACATTCGTGGACTGCGATACATCCTCCCAATCTTCTTCTGCTAAAGCTTTGTGGAAATCTTCCTTTCGATGCTTTCTACAATCCCGAAATTCAACCTTTCGGCGCATAGGTTTTAGTTTCGTTCCTGCTGGTAAAATAACCCCCATGTGGTCTGTTTTAGTTAACATGTGGAAAGGATAACATTTTGAGAACAAATCTATTCTATTTGTAAGGCAGTTATCCAAACATGCGTTACCCCTTGTTGAAAAGTCGACCATTGCATCCCATCCTGATAGTTCCTCAAGGTGTTTTATGTCCAAACTGTTCAAATCCCCTCCACAAACAATTACAGTGTCTGGATATTTGTCCAGAACGTCGTCAGAAATATTTATCAAATAATCCAATAAGTCGCTCTCCAGATAATTGTGCCTAGGTGGGTGATAAAAGCCATATATGGACATGCGGTTTCCTGTAGGTAACAGAAGTGTGACACCAATAAGTTCGTACAAACTGGATCGATAAATATCAATAACTTTTAAGTTGTTCCGAACATATATTGCTACCCCTCCTTTTGCTCTCATATCGCGTCCTTCCCAACTTCTATCTCTTCTAAATATTGAATAATTGTGAATGGTCACCACAGCATCTGGCATTTCAGGTTTCAGGTGACTCTCGCTCACCACACATATATCTATATCGTTATTGACCAAGTCTGCCTCCAGTGCAACTACAGCTCGTACTCGATTTTTTGTTTTTGTCAGACTACATATGTTGATAAACATAAACTTAGGAACAGCAAAACCCGACTCTCTCGAAGGAACTTTTCTTGTGGATGTTAATTTAATAGGTACCAAGTTACTTCGTCTCCCTGAGTTAATATTTGAAGTATTATTAGAATTACAGTGGTGGTAATTTTGTCTCTGTGTAATTCTAACAGGAATAGCTAAGTTCTTTTTCTTATCATCCCATGAACAAATTCTAGGTAATTCAACCAATCTTTCTGATTTTGTTGTGGTTGACGGTTTGGCTGGAAATTTTGATATGACTGGAAATTCTGATGAGGTCGATGATTCTGGTCGATGATTCTGATGATGCAAACACTATTTACTTCAGTTATTGAGTCAGAATTGTGAGAACTGACACCGTCACAGACATTAGTTATCGAAGTTGTGCATACTTTAAGTTGTCTTGAAATTCGTCAAATGTGCTCGACATGCACGCCTTAATCAAGCATTCCTTTACCAAATTGCCAGCCTTTCCACGGAATAGTAAAGAACTCAAATAATGTTAAAGATATTTTATTCAAAGATATTTTTATATCTCTTTTAATATTTTAATATATTACAATGCATTATTTTTAATGTATTATATTTATTATATATTTATTGGTACTTGAAATAAATTGATCATTTATTTTTTAATTGTACCTGTATAATCTGTGAAGTAGTCCAGAGCAAAAAAATATAGGGAACAAAGTACTGAGCAGTGATTCACTAAGCGACAACTGAATAACAATTCGCTAGACCCACACGGTTGAGGATTCTTAATGCCAAATCTAGCTTCTTTGGCAGATGAGAGAGGGTGTCAGTGCAGAAGCTACCCATGGTAAAAAGTTGGTTAGCACAACTTGTTGTCATAGAAAGTTTTGCCACAGCTGTACCGGTAGATCCAGGGGTATTATTATTAGCTGGCAACTGGCAAATTTTGCCAGCTACTTTCAATATCAATGTGAATATGAAATATGAATTGGAATGGCATTTTAGATATTTTAATTTTTAAACTGCTCCAGTCCATATTCTGCCTGTGTATCAGTTGTGCACAGGGGTACATCTATCTTAGCGGCCGTCCATAGTGTCATAATTCATTGAAATTTCTATTAACATAAGTATGATGCTAATATGTTTGTGCGGGATATAACACTAGATGCTAGAGATTGTAGGTAAGGGTGTAAAACCCTGCTTTTATATTTTTTGTTTTAATTGTGATATTATTTGATTACAACAAAGAAAAAAACATTTAACGATGCCATATAGTGACTCTACTAGCTAAATATAAATATCAGTTAGCTAAAGTACAAAATTTAAATATTTAAATTGCAGTTATGTTGGGGAAATTCAAGGGAGTTCCATTCACCATAATTAAAACATATTGTCAACTGCCCTTTCTTGTAACTATAAATAAGTCCAAAATCTTTTTCTTGGGAGACTAAAACCTTTGTTTTGTGATTTTTCCGATCTCCCCCGAGCGTTCTTTTCAAATAAAAGGCCACATCTTCTTGCTGCTTGCCAGACAACAATGTTAGCAAATAGATGAGGGACTGGATGTATGTTAAAGAAACCACTTCACCTTTGCTGTTTCCTTTAATATAGCACATAGGTTCCCCTAATTTTGGATCGTTTTAAACTTTGATGGAAAATATATCATAATATGGATGTCTCACACTTCTTCTCCCAGCGAACCGTCTGTGGATAGCGGCCAGCCACAGTTGAGACTCGTGTTTAAGTACACAAGCCGCGTTTATATAGGTAGTTTGAAGAATTTTTTCTATTCCAATTCCGTTTGGTTCAGATTTGCTTATTTGTTCCCGGAATCCGATGTCTGCATCACTTTCTTGTTCCTCACCTGACTCATCTGCCCTAAAAATACACTCAACAGCTTCTTCCACTCCAAATGTTTCCGCCATATTGAATTATTACGTGAAAAATTACATGAAGTGTACAGAAGCGCCATAGGAGAAACCACTGGCTGAGAGTAACGGCAACAAGCTAAACCCGGCGTTTTTACAGCCTTTCGTCCCCAGCGTGCTTTGCATCAATATTGAGATCATTATAGATTACCATATGTCGCAGTCTCTACTCCCAATGTCTTGAGACCTCTCATATGCGATTCAGCCTCATTGTAAAGCTGTCTAATACTTTGAACATTATGAAGGCTTGTTACTGCAGGTAGTTGAAGAAGGCTGTCCATATGCGAATTAATAATATGTTGCTTGTCGCCAAATCTCTGGTTTAACACGTCAACTGCTTCCTGAAAGTTTGCTGAAGTAATCTTTAACCCAGCAATTGCTTCTGCTGCCTTTGATTCAAGTAGGGAGTTAAAATAGTTAAATTTATCAATATCTCTTAGGTCAGGATTGTCATGATCATGAATAGCTGAGTTTAACTTTCCCAAAACGGAGTCCACTCATTAATATCTCCCTTAAACTTCTTTATTAAACTCAATTTTGGTAGTTTTATCTTGGCTGACGAATGACTTATAGTATTAGAATTATGATAATTCCTTAACTCTTGAGTTCTTTCTGGACTTGGTGATGGAGCTACGCTCATAGGGCTAACTACGGAATCAATTCTGATAATTGTGGCATGTATTGACTCTCTTAAAAGATCACTTTCTTCAATCTCTTTTTCAATATATTTCTCCTCAGTAATAGCTAGTATATTATTGTCTAAATTTTGCATATTGTCTAGTTTTTCCTTTAATTTAATCCTTTGTTGCAATAACTTCTCGGTAACTTGTTTAGTTGAAGGATCAAAATCGTCAAGAATTGTTGATGAAGCATTTATCGTCCTCTTAGTTGAAGTTCTGTGTCCACCCCGAATCTTACGTTTCTTTGTTGCTTCTTCACTCATAATAACAATGTTACACTCTCGAATACGTACATATACTTTATCTAACTTCCCAAAATGTATATAAACACCTAATAATAATCCCTTTAGTGCACAGTTACTGTATATGGTTCTAAGGCACAATTTCTCCTTAATTTCTCTTAAAGCTCCTATGTAATGATTCCAAATACTTGTAAGTGTAATAAAATCTAGTAAATTCGCTCAAATAATCGTATAGACTTACTCAGATACTCGTAGATTTGCCAATGTCTCGATGTTCGCTTTATATGACTCGTATATCGCTCAAAATCTCGTAAATATTTCACTCAATCGTTCGTAAATTCTTACGAAGCTCGTCAATTATATCATATGTTCGTAGATTCTCCCAGAGGACTCGTAGATTCTCCCGAAGGACTCGTCATCGCTAGAAATCGGGGACATTTGGAATGCAGCGTGCATTCTCGCCCCAATCTCCATGTTGACCCTGAAATTCAATTCTTATCACGAATGAAGATGGTTATCCTATTTTTACATAAAATATCTTTTAAGAATCATACCAAATTAAAATTGTGCACTGTGGAAACAAAATTCCGTGAACTAATTATGGAAATAAGAATGGAAATACACCAATAATAAAATATAATGATTATTTACGATATATGAAACTGGGCAACAACGCAGTAAATGTACGGGCATGAGTTGTGACTAATTTACCGAGACGATAATAATCTACCTATTTGCAAAGTCATTACTACGGCTTAGTTCAAATTTGTGCGGATTTCTATTGTTCTCAATAGGGTTTTATTTGGGTAAGAATCTGAAAGTAAGGGGAGGGATTTGATATCTCCCCAGGGAAAAACGGGGTTGATAAATAGAATTGAATTGAATTGGATTGACGATTAAATATACACCGGGTTTTATCTATATAAAACTCGGATTTTTGCGGGTTATATATATATAAAACCCGCATAAATCAGGTTTTATATACTTAGATAAAACCTGGTGAATATTTAATCATCAATTCAATTGAATTATATTCATCAACCTCCCTTTTCCCTATAGAGATGTCAAATTCCCTCCACTTGCTTTTAGATTCTTACCCAAATAAAACCCTATTGAAAACAAATTTAGAATCTTTGCTTCGACAAACCCATAATATTGTTCGTTATAGCGCTTCTACCTTCGGCCCACTCTTTCCAAATACGATCGAACTGCCCAGATGGTGATGGGTCTTGTGCCTACAGTATATTCGGTATACGCTCAATACGCGTGTTTCAAAACTCTTTGTTTATCTCTGTCTAGTTTGAGCACTGCAAATCCCAATGGTTCGTCATTTGCTTGCAAAAATTCTCTTTCCATAAGCCTAATTTTCATCTGATTCCGGTTGCCTGGAAGCATTTTCTTCGTCGCTACATAGGTAGTTCACGTTTCAATCTCATTTTCATATGGACCCCATGGTAACAACCGTTATTCTCTTAATTCAATGCAAGTATTTTCAACAAAAAAGTAGATTTAATTGTTTTTCAATACTTACAAATTTGAATCCCTCGGGAGCGTTGCCCTCAGAAAGCATCCCTCGGGCCTACGGCCCTCGGGATCTTTCTTCGGGACACGCCCCTCGGGTTGTATCTCGCTAAGAAACCTAGTTCTCGGTAATTAACTCTTACTTAATGATCGATGAAATTAAAATGTATGGTAAAATTTAAATAATATACAGATACTAGTAGCCGAAATAATTGTTCGCATACCTTAAGCTGTGCTGTGAATGATTATTTGTTTCATTCCAAGATTGCATAAAAACGAAGGTTCGTTTATTATAGACACAATCATCAGGTTCTAATATTTCGCAGTTTGGCGATGATTTTTTAAGCAAAAATGGCCGAAAATATATCATTCTAAAGCTCTTTTCTTCTATTTTTTGTTTGTTTACATTTTGTAATCCTTTTAGTATGTTCACATTTTGTAATCCTTTTAGTAATCCTAATATATATATATATATATGTTTCAGTGTTTCAAATATAAATATAAATAACATGAAGTATAGTACAATAGCAGTCGATTTTGCTTGTCAAAGGGAAAGTGCTGCCGCTCTCAAATTCGTTATTATAATGACCCCAGGTCTGGACTTTATAGAACAAGTACTAAAATGCGGTGCCCTACAAATATAAAAATTTCCGGCGTTTCCGCCTACAAATAAAGTTATATTTAGTACGCAACATTCTTCTGTCGGCCGACATTTTTCGTACGCTAGGATTAAACTGCGTTTTAGAACGCTCAAAATAAAAATACTACCAAGAAGAAGAGAGAAGTGAGACGAATCCACTGCTATACGGCCGAAAAAGAGAAAACCAACGACACCAAAATTATCAAGGATCAAACGTACTGCATTTTTTATAACTAGTTTAATAATTTTGAGCGATTTGTCAACAGTACAATTTCCCTTGGCTTTCAAAGACAAAGGCCACAAATCGCTAGAATCTTTTGTTTAGTAATACATTTGACATCCGTGAGTACAATTTCCTACGCTGGATCGAACGGTGGTATTTTCGTCCTTATTGCGCCTTTAGGCATTAACACAAATACAAGGACAAACGTACTCATGTTATGTCAACAATACGTATACTGCGAGCGATTTGTGGCAATACGTACTGCGCCATTACTCCATTGGCCATTACATACAATATGATTACAATATCATATTTCACTTTACAGTTTTGACCTTTCCACAGCTAACTATTACGGACTGTTATTGTATAAATTTTACATTGATATGACACCAATATGTTTCTCCTAAAGCAGTTATCTATTAAAACTACGTTGTGTAGTGTAAGTTATAACCTTTTACCTAAGCTTGAAATTGTCTTTGGCTCGTTTATATTCAGATTCAGTAGGCTATATTTATATGATCGTGCACGGGAATTCAAATTAAGATCCAAATTTCGGATTTTGAGAGTCGTGCACCAAGAAAAATTCATTAACTAAACTCGCAAATAAAACAGGTACAATTCGTTGAAAATGTTATCGAAATTGTTTGAAACATTTTGCCCACTCCACGAAAGGCAGCCATTTTGAAAAATATTAATTATTTTATTAGGAAGCTCATTAATATTCTGTTTTGTGGGCTATCAACGACGACTGGAAATCCGACATCTGACATCCACCAAAAATGTGTGCCCAGCAATATTCTCTAATTGATGACCAAATATTCTCTTCGTCTCTTCAATTTTCCTTTGCATATATATTGAATAAAAACCAACTTGATCAAATGTTCTCACCATGATAGTTCCTGACTTGCCTCCAGTTTACCTTGACAGTCTCGATGTTTTCCCGGAAGGCGCTCCGTAATCAATGATACCATTGTTGTACAGAGATTCTTATACGAAAACGTTTGCGATGAAAATAAAATTCTATTAGCAATGTTGTTATAATCTATTTATAATATTGTTGATATTAGTATAAAAAATGTTGTCATTCTAATGATCTTGAAACCCATGCGTTGTTATTTATATGAAAACTATGACACCATATTGTTATTTTAATAATCATCGCTAATTGTAGTTAATGACTCTAGTTAATGACTTTTTTGTTGTGACTTTAATTCTTCTTTAATTCTTCTATTTCTTACGTCATTGGCGCCCGCTTTGGCCACCATATACTCAGCGCATTATGTTTTATGTGTGTTTTTATGTGTGAATATCTTTGAAATAAATATTCATTGAAACTATTGGTGCATTTGGTTTTCTCAAAATAAGACTTTGTTTGTTAACACAAATTTCAGGCTTGATAATTAGGTAAATGAAATACTATGTTTCTAACCTTCCTTTCTTATGTTTTAGTTATTGCTTCAGTGGCCATTCTGTATTCATTTCAAAGTGCTATAGACATATCTGGTACGACTCGTTGTGCTGTAGATGTGCAAGCTCAGATGACTTCTGGTGAACGAATTCTGGCCTACACTGAAATTAAACCTGAGAAGGGACACGAGATCAATGAACAACCACCCAAAGATTGGCCAGAGGCAGGGAAAATAGAGTTCAAGAATGTTTCGTTGCGATATTATGAAAATGGCCCTAAAGCTTTGAAAGATTTATCATTTCAGATAAATCCTTCTGAAAAGATTGGTGTTGCAGGAAGGACAGGTGCTGGTAAATCTTCTCTGGTTGCAGCGCTCATGAGAATTGTCGAAACTGAAGGGGATATTATTGTTGATAATGTGAATATTGAGAATT